TCTCTCTCTCTTTCTGCACTCATTCATGTCCCACTAATGCATGTTACTAACTTCACTTCTTCCCCGGAGTTCTTGTGCTTTTTCGTCTCGGAGGTTCTCATGGATCCTGGTGGAGCCTCCTGCCATGGACCTGCTTGACTGCCATTGCCAATATCACTGATATTGGTGTTATTATTATTATAAGTATTATTATAGCTACGGTTACTGTTGTTGCTGTTGTCACTGCTCATTGTCCCCAATCGTTGCTGTTGTCATGTTCATTATCATTAGTCACTACTATTAGTGTAGTTGTTGCTACTGTTGTTGCTGTGCACCTGTCTGTCTGTCTGTCTGTCTGTCTGTCTGTCTGTCTGTCTCTCTCTCTCTCTCTCTCTCTCTGTCTCTCACCCAAACTGGTCGAGACAGACGACCACCCACCTAGAGCCGAAGGATCTGTCCTAGGTTTCTGCCTTTTAACAGGCAGTTTTTCCTTGCCCTTGTCGCCAAGTGCTTGCTCATGGTGGTACTGTTGGGTCTCTGTAATTATAAAGAGTTCGGTCTAGACCTGCTCTATTTGAAAAGTGTCCTGAGATAACTTCTGTTATAAATTGGCGCTATACAAATAAAATTGAATTGAATTTAAATTGAATTGAATAAAACACACTGAAATTTCAATGAAACTGAAGCAAACAACAATTTGTCAGGATATTAACCTTTTAGATATGTATGAAAACAAAATATTGTTATGTGTGTGTGTGTGTGTGTGTGTGTGTGTAAGAAGGGAAAGAGACAAAGAGAGACAGAAAGAGAGAGAGAGAGAGAGAGAAAGAGAGAGAGAGAGAGAGAGAGAGAGAGAAAGAGGTTTATGTCTTTCCATCTGTCATGAAACCACAGCCTGGTCACATGCAGTACATTAACTAGCCATTAGGAATCAATGGTTCATCCATAATGCATTATGGTCATAGGTACATTAAGAAGTCATGACATTATCATCTGTTTGATGTCATCTGAATGGGTGGGACCGAAACCCTTTTAGCCAAAAGCACAGTAGAATAAATATAAGTGCAGCAGCACTGCAGTGCTTTACAACAAGGACCAAAGCACTACTGTCAAATACGGTGTGACATTAGTAGCACACAAAGACAGGACAGAATTTTCCTTATAGCCTATTATTCCTTTATTTCTAGAGCAGGCAGCTCTGACGTACATTAATTAAAGGAAAAGTAAATGTTTTGTAATGTTTTTGAGTTTTGGACATCATTCTTACTGGTGTGACAACTTTTTACATAATACAAACATAGTTAATTTGATTAACTTTTTCAATACAATTTTATTCGTATAGTGCCAATTCATAATAAAAGTTATCTCAGGACACTTTTAAAATAGAATAGGTCTAGACCGTACTTTAAATTATTTAAATCATTTAACCCAACAATACCCACCATGAGCAAGTAGTTGGCAAATATTTAAATAAATAACTGCTGTCATTTTCATTTTGTAATACTCACTACTCCTCTCATGTCAGTAACTTTACTTTATTTGTCTGTTCTTTGTTCCACCAGTTGTGTTCTACCTGTGTCTAGTTATCATCCCCCTCACCAAGGTATTCGTCTTTCTCAGTGTTTTGAACTTCTGCTGTGTTTTCTTGGACTTATGGACTTCGGCAGCAGTGGTGTAAAGAACACTGAAAATGTGTACTCAAGTAGAAGTACTATTACAGTACATTTATCAACTGCAAGTTAAACTAAAGGCTTTAAAAAATACCCAAGTGAAAGCACAAAATAATAATAAATCAAATCAAATCAAATTGATTAATAAAATGTATTTAAAAACAACCCTTGTTGACCAAAGTGCTGTACAGACCAGAGCAGGTAGAGGAGACTATAATTAAGAGAAACACAAATAAAAAGAAACAGGCATAAAAAAAATCAATTCACGCTGCTCATATGTACAGACAAACAACACATAGACATAAGCAGCAGGTGACCCCCCCACCCCCCCAAAAAAGGCAACCACATCAGGAGGAATTAATTCAAAAGATTTTATGATGGCATAACAACAACAAAAAACGTCGTAGCCTGACGTGCACCTCCACAGAATTGTATATACACTCATTCTAGAACATGAGTTGAACCAAATTGAGGAGAAGGAAAGAAGTCTTCTTTGCCACTTCACAAAGACCACAAGATGGCAAAGAAAGAGATTTTCACAAACATCAGTGTGGCTGTAATTTTAGTATAAATAACTGTTGTTCAGCATTTATCAGCTCCAACTCCAGCGTGATCTGCTCAGTTTTAGTCTCACACTCAACACAGTGGCATAACAACCCCACCACCAACTCATAGTGGCATAGGCTGTAGTAGTGTTGCTGACTCTCAGTCTCTTCTGGTGCTCTAAAATGCTGTCATGATCAAATTGTGTGACAGCTAGCGTGGATGTTTAGGCCACGTTTCCTTCCAATTGTAAATAAGACCTGAAAAATGTTATGTGTATGTCAAAGTCATGAGTGAAACTCAACAATGGTTCCAAATGACTGTGAGAAGTCGCTGTTTGAAATGTTTGGACTAAGATTTCTAGGATCCAATAGGAAGACTTAAAGGACAAATAGGATTTAGTGCTATGGTGTATTTAATGTACACATACTGAATACTGATAAATCAAGAGCAGTATGAAACAATGACTGCCCTTAGCCCCTTGGCACGATGCCTACAGGGTGTGTCAAGACTTTTTGACTGGGGTGGCACAAGTGGGTCACCGACTTATGCAGGGGTTGCATGAAGTTTAGGGACCCCAGTATGCAGAAATAATGAAATATACTAGGGGAAAATCACAATAAATAATATATAAAACTGCATGGTTTTTGCCTTAAATTACAAGGTTTAGCATAAAGTGCATGTCTGCAAAGAGAGGACTCATGGATACCAATAGATTATTTTATTTATTATTTTCATTTAGATATCTCGAGGTCAGAGGTCAAGGAATCCCTTTGAAATGGTCATTGCCAAAATGTACTTTCTAACCCTTCCTGACATGGTAGCATGCCATGGTACCAATGGATGCGTTAGGTCATCTAATTATATATGATACCAGTATCATTAATTTTACCTTTAAAATGGAGCCTGCAGCAGCCTCTGAAAGACAGTGCGAGTGGAAGAGGGAAGGATAATGGGGTGGCCAATCAGATATCCTCTGGAAAACTGACTCTATGTCTGTTAGCCTGATACGTACTGTAAAACCTTTTAAAGATTTTTATACATATATTTTATATATATAAATCAAACTGTACATATTGTATTTCATTGCCCCCAGAGCCACACACAGAGCTTTAGGGCCAGGGGATGTTATGCAACGCAAAGTAAGTGACACATTTAAAGACAGCCAGAAAATCAACAGTAGCTTATGTAATGTTCACTCAAGCGCTTATGAGCAAAGGGAAAAATGAAAAATGAGACCTCAGAAACCTTTGTTTGCGAAACTGTGGAGCACAAAGAGGATAGAGATTTATCACCAAATCAGTGTAATACACTGATGTGTTTTTATATCGTATTTCTATATTTCTACTGTGTGATATTTTGATCCATGGGGATAATTTTTTAGATTTTTGTGTCTCAACAAGCAGTGGCTCATTTGCACCACCAAGCAATGCCTTAGTAGCCATGTAGCAACACTGTAGTTACTTTTAAGCCAGGTGTTCCCAAACTTTTTCCCTCGTGTGTGTCAAAACTGAGACTTAATGGTGGGCCATGGGACAAAAAAGTAATTTCCCCCTGGGATTATTAAAGTATTTCTGATTCTGATTCTGAAAAGCAAACATCTGTTGAATTGTTAGATTGCAAAATGATACTAGGATCTTAACTTTATATATTTTAATTGCATTTTTTTCTTTGCTATAAACAAAGCTCTGTCAAATCCCACCATTTCAGAAGTGAAGTGTGTTCAGCGTCTGGCCTGTTATGCAAAAGGGTCTGTGTCATACAAACGTGTCTTTCTCCACTTCAAAGATGAACTTTTCATCATCCACGGTGTCAAATCTCCTCTGACTGATTGACTGAAACCCCACCACCGAGCTATGAGAATCAATGCAGAGTTCTAGGGTGTGTGGAGAGGCTTCTGAAAGCGACAGGAAGTGGGTTACATACATATAACTCCTGTTCTTTTGTTTTCTAGTTCTTTTATATCTTTTTTTTTTTCTATTTTTATTTCATGTGTATTTTCTTATCTATTGTATTGTGTTGTATGTGGAGCTGCTGGGAAATGTTATCTTATCTTGTCTTATCTTAGTAAGAAGTGGCTGTAAAGTGTGAGAGACTATGATGGGCACAAAACTTGCAAAATCGCAAAAGGCCCTAGTGTTTGGTTGTCCATTCTGAGCTACTGTAGAAAAATGAGGGATGGAAGGCAACCCTTGGAGATAAAAACTCCTTCTAAGGTAACACAAACCCAACCATTTATTATTTTATTATTTTCAGGTGATTATACACTAATGAAAACATACCTATGAATATCATTTCCAATTATTCAATTTTTTTTTTTTTACAATAATAATACCTAAATGTTACACACTGGACCTTTGAGGACATGGTTTTTGAGGTATTCAAATGAAACTATAAGATGTGACAACCAACACCCTAAACCTTGACCTTGTGGGGTTCCTGCATTTGTGTGGCGGTTGCCCACTTGTGTCCAGGTTGGTCATTGAACAAACAGAAATACTGTTATAAGGTGCTTCACTTGATATGGGATGGTAGCAGACACAGCTATGTGTGTGTGTATTTGGATATAACCATCCAGAGCGTTTTTTTCCCCTTTTAAATTGACAAAGCAGCAGCAGCAGCAGCGGCTGTGTGAGTCTCCACTGTGCCAGTAGGTGGGACTTGGAGCTCGGAGGATGGAGTGTTTCTCTCTCTCTGCCTCCCCCGTATCTTTCTTATGTCTCCCCACCATTTTAGCCGCCTGGTACCAGCAACAGCGCCAGAGAGAGAGAGAGAGAGAGAGAGAGAGAGAGAGAGAGAGAGTGGAGGGATGACATAAAACGATGCAGAGAGAGGAGGAGAAGAGAGAGAGAACCGGGCTGCATGCGCTCAGACCTATTCATGTCATATACCTGGTGGAATATTTTCGGAATTTTTTCCTTCCTGGGGTTTTCTTTTTTTTTTCTTTTTTTTCTTCTTTTTTTTAATGAGCAGTAGAGCCGTGACTGGCATCATTGAAATCTCAAGACACACTCATACATACAAACACACACAAGCACACACTCACATATGGATACGCACACACGTAAAGGGAGATGTGTTCTTTTATATTAACATTTGAACTCCAGGGTAAAAAATAACGGGAGAACACCGGTTACGCGTTCATACACCCACGCAAGCGCGGAGCGGACTTGGAACGACAGGATTTGACTAATTTCCCTCGCTATTGCGCTGCAAAGTTGCCAAGAAAATCTGGGGACTTGAATCGTGACAGCATGGCTGGATTCGGTGCGTTATTTGGCGCATTCGGCGTCCGTCGCCCTCCCAGGATATTGTGCTGCTGGAAGCTGTTCTTTCTGCTCAGCATCTTCTTTCACAACTACCTGAGCTCCTTGCTGGACTGTCCGCCCACCTGCACCTGTTCGCCCACGGAGATCTACTGCAATAAGTCCGACAACAGCAAATTCTTCCCGCTGCTGTCCTTCCAGGGCACCGGGAGCACCGGGAATAGTACCGGGAGCATCGAGGACCTTTTCCAGAACATCACCTCTATGTAAGTGCTGCTGCTACCATGGAACGTTCTGTAGTTATGTGTCGATGGTTTTATTTGGAGCTGCTTGTGCTTCCAGTTGAGGTAACAGGTTTGCGTTTTTATTAATTCACGCCGTCTTGTTTGTCTGCAGATTAGAGGACATCCTTCATGACAATATGGGCTAGTATCTAACTGATGTCAATAATGAGAAAATGTTCTTCATTTGGGCAAAAAAGAGAAATTGATGCTTAAATATTTTTTTGGGTATAATTGGCTTGTTTTTCTTGGGGAAAATACACAAAAATAAACTTTAAATCGTCACTACTTGTACAACAATTGTGAGCTAAGGTGATCACAGCCAGGGCCTTTATTAAAACTTGAAATAAATGTAACTATGGATGTGAAAAAACCTCACTCAAAATAATAGAAATAGAATGAGATACGAATTATGTTTGTTGTATGTGATGAAGCACAATGGAATCCAGACTCAATAGGCTATGCCAGAGTGATTCACCACCTGGAGGTCACAGGTACACTTCAATATTGTGTATATCCATACTCAACTACTGTGTATACCTGGTCTTTCTATTGTGGTGGTAGCCCAAGAGTAGCCTGTTCTGTAACCTCAATCTTATTCTTTAATTTTCTTAACACTTGTAAGGAAGTGTCCAAATGGGTTGGTTAAGTAAATTGAGACTAGCCTTTATAACGTAATTTTGAGTTGAAACCAACTGGCGTTGATTCTGTGTCCCAAATTGTGGCCTGAGCCTTTACTGATTTTATTTGAGTTCACTTTTAGATTCTCATGATCTATCAGTTAATTAGTTTAACTTGATTATATGAGTTGAGTTAATTGACTCTCTATCAGTAGATTTCTCTCAAGATCCTTTAGCGTTACCACCACCAGAGAAAAATAGCTCCTTAATCAAACTGGTTCAATACAGTATTTGAAAATGACTCAAGGTTAATACACGTCGCTATGTTATTCTATCTATATCCGCTAAGTATACAGGAGTAGCCCTACCAACAATTTCCTCCCTTTAGGCAGCCCTTACAGGGCACTGGACAACCACCCTTCCTCAAAAACCTAGAAAATGCCATAGTCCTATTTGAACCATATCTTAATTTATGCACGTAACTCCACTGTAGAGTAAGGGTTCCTTAAACCCCAAATGTATCCCTTAATCTCTAATGTACAAGGAAAACGCAGAGCATGCAGTAAGCAATGTTCATATTTGTAAATTTGATCTGAGGAGGTTTTATAGGTAAGAGATTCTGTTACCTTGTCGAGATATGATTTACATAAACCTTTGGCCATAACCTAGTTCTGATCTCAGAGCCTGTCAAACCTGTGATGTAGTGGTCAGTAAACAGCAGAGTAAACCAAGACCCCGGTCATCAATATGAGCTGAAGGAAATCAATTCTGCTCTCAGAAAAATATGTCTTCCCTTTGGAAGCACCGAAGACTGATGTACAGTGAATTTTGACATGTCAAATGATGGTAAATTCTTGAGAAAATGCTGTATGAAGCTGGTTTAACTAATCTAACCTTTGTCTACTTTCCTGGTAGTCAGGTTGACCAAAATGATCCAGAATGATCCAGTTATATATCATGTCAGTCCATATCTAAAACAGTGGATACCTTTAGGGAGAAAGTCATCCTTTGATGACAGAGAACAGCACAGCCTGAGAGGTAATAAGCCCCGATATCTCCAAATAGCTTTTTCATTGGATGATAAAAGCAGTCATGACTCAGTTGCTCATAAGCACAAGTCTAAATGTCACTTTGCTTGGGATGAACTGCCAACCAGTCATCCAAATACCCATGAAAGTCTGATATTCCCTGGGTGGGTGCTGAACAAACCAAATCACTTTAGATATACTACTTTATTTGGGAGACCAACCTGAGAACCAGATGGCTGAATTTATTTTTTTTGGATGAGAGGGGCACAAAAAGACCAGAAACTGGGTACATGGGGTTTGATTAGATTTCCCAACTTGTGGTTGATATATGATAAATCTACAAACATATGCATCTTTGCCTTGTTGCATCTCTGAAGAACTTAAGAGCCGCTCACTGTCCGTGCTGCTGCACTGAGCACAATGGCATTTGTGTGCAATTTGTGCAAGTGCTGGAAAACTCACATATGGTTGCCCGTGTTAATCTTTTAACAGTTAAAGAATAAAGAATCCACAGTTATTGTTCTTCGTGGAAATACATTCCAAACGTCAGCCAAAGCTAAAATAATTTCTATGCAGTCTGTCTTAGACATATCAAGTGGGTATCTTTGTCCTTATTGCTGTGTCTAGGGAAGTTTCCCACTGCAAAACTAAATAAATCTAAAAAGATATGCATCTCTGCCTTGTTGCAACTCTGAAGAACTAAAGAGCCGCTCACTGTCACTGTCATTTGTGTACAATTTGTGCCAGTGCTGGAAAATTCACATTTGGTTGCCTGTGTTAATCTTTTATTTCAGTTAAATATTCTTTAATGTGTTAAATAATTGATAATTGAACATT